TCTATACTTACCTGCTGTGTACAGTAGGATTGCACACAGCAGCCTGGATTCTCATCTTCTCGGGTCCCCCGAAGGTTCTCCTGGGCCCTCCCTCCTGTCGGGTGCCCCCACAGCAAGCAGCTTTTTATGGAGCACCCATTCACACATGGAGCCACGGTTTAGCCCTGTCCCCTCTCTGCTCATTGGCTCACTGGCTGTGATTGACAGCAGTGGGAGCCAATGGCTCCTGCTTCTAGCTCAGCCAATGAGAAGAGGGAGTCCTGGGATAGTTGAGACTCCAGTAAACATTGTTGGATTGAGAGGGAGCTTAGATGAGTGTTAGGGGGGATGCTGCACAGAGGAGGTTTTTAACCTTCATGCATAGAATTCATGAAGGTAAAAAAACCTTAAGCCTTTAGAACCACTTTAAGCTTTGGCAATAAAACCAGTAAGCTGATTGGTTTCTATGCAAAGCTGCACCAAATTTTGCACTCTCCTGTTTTTTGTACATCAACCCCACCGAGACTTGTGTTGCTTTTTTTTGTCATAGCTTAATTGAACAAGCTGAAATTAGAAGCTGATTGACTACCATGCACAGCTGTACCAGATTTTATACTCCCCAGTTTTAGTAAATCAACCCCAAAGTCTTCAAATTCTTGTACCTGCCTCTTCCAGATGACAAAAATGGCATTCGTATATTGCAGCCATGTGTCCTGAATCAAAATGGAGGAGTAAATGTACTTCTCTTTGAGGGAACCTAAGAGGAGATTAACAAAGGCTAGGGTAACTAAACTGCCCATGGCTGTGCCACTAGATTGCTTCCTCAATGAATTTTCTAATTTGAAGAAATTGTTTTCCTGTATCCCTTCTATATCCTGAAAAATAAATTCAGCAGGCAAGTTAGAATCATAAGTCATCAAAAAATGTTTCACAGCTTGTATGTCTGCCTGATTGGGAATATTGGTATACAATGCTGGGATATCCATGCTAGCAAGAAAACATTTCTGTTGCAAATCCAATCTGATTCAAAAATAACTTTGTATCCTTCACATAAGAAGGTAGAGTCATCACCAGAGCTTGTAAGTGGCTATTAAGGAATTTGGCCTGTGCTTGAGTGATACCATTGGATCCAGAGATGATTGGGTGGTATTATTAAGGTGCAAGGCCCTTGTTGATCTTGGGCAATCAATATATAGCTGAAGTGAAAGAAAATGCCATTCCACCCCTTGTTCTGATATTCATTGACTAGCAACAGACAACTCCACCAGGGACCTAATTTTTTGAAAAATTATTTTGATTGGTTGAGTTCTCTCTTCTGTTACTAAAAACAACCTGACAAAATGTTTTCCCTTAAAGCTGTTTTTATTCAATCTCTTATTAACTCTTGGTTAATATTTACATATTAAAGTGTAAGTAAAGGCTACATTTAGTGGAATTTATAGGACAAGAAGTAAAAACTAAAAAAAAAAAAAAAAATCATACATACTCACCTCACTGTGATGCTGCAGCTTTCCCCCACCAGCTCTAAGCCTGAGAACATGATCATTGATCATTCAGTTGTTGGGTCTGCTTTGCCCCTCCATTGCTCATTGGAACACCGGTCAGGAAAGTGGGAGTGGCTGTCTCAGGTTCCCAGTGGCATGCTGAGAGGCTGAGCCAACTTCTGGTCAGGCATCTGAGTGGATCCTGACATTATTGTAGAGATACTTCCAGACACTGGCATGGCTCTGTGATGTTAGCCAACAGCAGGCTTTAGCTGATACTGGTTTACAGGAGAGCAAAAGTAAGTGCACTGCTGTGACCCACATGAGAAGCATTACCAAACAAGCTTTGGTCATACTTCTGTTATAAAGTAGAAGTAAATGCTACATTTATGTCTGCTTAAAAATACTGCCTCCCCCTACCTATGTTGTAAACAGCTGGTAAAAAAAAGATGTTTGTAAGTACCTTTTTTAAATTCATTCTGGTGTTGTTACATGATGCAATAGCTCTGGTTCTCTGTTGTCATGAAGTGGCTGCTCCAGTGGAGAAGAGAGGTAATCGAAGTTGATGGGTGATGTCATGGTTATCAGAATTCAGCTTTATTGTTGAGCACTCCATGACACAGATGTGGAAAGATGTGATCCCGCGCTTCATTTCTCCTCCCTCCATCTACACATCTCTCCACCTTACCAGCACAATCATGGATCTTCATAAAGCCTTGACACAGGTCCTTTAGTGCATTCTGGCGCCATGGGCAATGGTCACTAGGTCAACCTGAGAGAGTGAATCCTCCTAGCAGGGGCATAGACAGTAATAAAAATCTGTCAGGGTTACATTCTTTCCCTTCTTTATCCAAGCCTAAAAAAGAAAATGTTTTGGCTATACATGAACTGTGATTTTAGGGGTAGGTTAAGTTTTGGAGGTGGGAAAGGCAATGTGTTAGGGATACACATACATTTAAAGTAGAACTCAAGGCAGATATATAAAAGACATGTATAAATGCAGCTTTGTGTTTATTAAAGTGTTACTAAACCCACAACAGTAAAATCAGTCAGTATATGCAGTATAGCATGCTTGTGATACTCATGGTGGAAATTAAGGGGTTAATCCTCTGCGTTGTGTAAAAAGGCCATTTGATCCTGTTCTCTCTGCCCTTCCTCTTGTTGAAATTACCAGCTGATACAGACTGAATTCGTAGTTGCATGCACATACTCAGTTTGGTGTGTATTGCTAGAGAAGTTTTTTTTTTTTTTTCTTGGGAGAGTGCATGTGATCAGCACAGGGCCAATCAGCGCTGTCCAGACAGGGTCCAGGACTTTTAGATCCTCCTAGAGCAGAAAGAAAACTCCTCCTACAAGCTCTGCTGAAGTCACAAGACTGCTCTAACTACTGATGAGAAAAAGTATTTAGCAGTTTATATTTACTAAAGTAATTTCACTTCCATGTTCTGTGTACTGTGGGAGACCAGATATAGTGAATGCAGGGTCCTGGGTTTAGTAACACTTTAATTTGAGCTCATGTGACCAGAAAGCAGCAAGAAATGTAAGAGCCTGCCAGTCAATGGCATCAGTTCAACATGAGTTTCAGATGCTTCCAAGATCATTCATAATTCCTTCACATGTCCATTTGACCTAAAGTTAGCCTCCTTCTGACCTAAAGTTAGCATTCTTCTGACCTGCTTCAAGTGGGATTTGCATGCCCATATGTTTGCATGGGAATGCAAAGCTTGTCTGTCGTAAAGGCCTGTCGACAAAAGCTCTAACTTATACAACTGGTCTGCTTTGAATACCTAAACTGGGCTATAATAAATGAACCAAAACAAATTCATGTATATGAATATATAGAACTGATTTGCAGGAAATATCAAATACACTTATTTGTTGTTACTAATGTTTTATAATTGGTACACAGACATCAAGCAGGTACACAATGAATAAACTTTCATATTATTTACTGCTTTATATAATGGAAAGGGAAATTATATTGGCATGTTTTCTTTAATTGTTTGTGTGTTTTATAAATAAAAACTCTTGTATGAAAAAATACTCAGCTAAGAAAAATAGCACATTATCATTACAAAAAATCTAAGCATTTACCAAAAAAAAATCGTTCCCCAAAACGTCTTCAACTTACTATCAGTTTTCAAGATGTGAAAGGAGGCAAAAATCTAGAAACTACAATGAAAGTCTACACCTATACTTACATAAAAAAAGACTCTTAGGCTTCATGTACACAAGCCTACCCTGACCGCCAGCCATGGGAAAACACAAATCGCGTCAAAAACACGGTACCATGTGAAACGTTTCCCACGGTCAAAACGTTCTTATCCTGAGCGTGATTCCTCCGCGTTCAGGAGAAAGAGGTCTAACCTCGCCTAAACGCGGCAGCTCCTAAACTCTGCTAAAAGCTTATGTGTACATGGACACATAGGCTTTTATGGAGTTGAGTTTAGGAGCTCCATGTGTATATGAAGCCTTTTATTTCAAAAGTTATTTGTTACTTGTATTATGCAGACAACTTTTGCTTTGATCCATTTCTTTCCAAACTATTTGCTGTTGCAGCAGGCTGCACGACATCTTTTTAAAGTGGTAGCAAACTCAAGCTGTTTATTTTTACCTACAGGTAAGCTTAGTATAAAGCTTACCTGTAGGTAAAATGAATATCTTCTAAACATGCACCGTTTGGGAGAAATTCTAGCAAACAACAGCCAGTGACATCGCCAGCGCATGCGCTCTGAAGAAGCAGCATACCTGTGCCGTTCCTCAGAGCTGTGTACCATGGCTGAGTTTCCCATGTGCATGCGCGGGAGTGACATCATCGCGGCTTGGCCATTCAAGTGGTTACAGCCCACAAACTCTGAGGGAAACCAGGTAAATATGGAAGCCTCAGCAGTATGCCGCTGGAGGGCTTCTTTTTAAGGTGAGTCCTTCATAATATGCTAGTATACTAGCACATTATGCCTTTGTCTTGCAGGGGGAAACTTTTTTTTTTTTTTACCACTTTAAGAGAATTAGAAAGTAACAATTGCAAAAACTGATGTAAGGGAATATTTTTCTAGCATTAAGCCAGATACGACCATGCCTTAAAATAAGATAAATATATGCAAAAAAAGGAAACCATTTTTGCTAGTATAAATCTTTGTTGTGAAACATATCACAATGGAGCTGTTTGTAAAAGGTAAAGCAACAAGAAGAAGAATATATCATGTTGGTTGGCTAAGGAGACCTGCTGCTTGCTAAGTAAGTCATCACAGCACATTGGTAATGTATTTTTTTATTTGGCACCAAACCCAGTTTCACACCCATTATCTGTAAAAACAATTATTAAAAATCTTTTGGTATATGAAAAAACATAAAGGTTCTACAGCTGATTACCCAAGGAGATGGATTGTTATAGACTATAAATTATACTTATGATTTTTTTAGTTTCTTACTTGGTTTCATAACCTCTAACTATGCTTTAATTTTTTTATTTTAGTAATTCCAAGTGCCCCAGAACAAGGTCCACCAGGTCCTCCTGGTCCAGTTGGCCCAAGAGGAATGCCTGGGCCTCCAGGACCTCCAGGAAAACCAGGATATGGAGCACCAGGACCACAAGGAGCTCAAGGAGTACCAGGATCACCAGGATTCTCCTCCATTGGAAAACCTGGTCAACCAGGCATACCTGGTAAGCAGGGGGAACGTGGATATCAAGGAGAAAAAGGTGACAACGGACCTATAGGACTACCAGGACAAAGAGGTCAGCAAGGACCACCAGGATTTCCAGGACCTGCTGGAATTTCTGCTGTTGGCACACCAGGTCCACAAGGTGCAGTAGGAAACCCTGGGCCTAGAGGTGCACCTGGATTTAAAGGTGAACCTGGAATGTCAGGGATAAATGGAATCAAAGGACAAGATGGATATGGAATTCCAGGTCAACCAGGAGAAAGAGGTCTACCTGGTCTCTCCGGCCCACCTGGACCACAGGGCCCTGCTGGAATAGGCAAACCTGGTTTAAATGGTCTTCCTGGACAGCCAGGAAAATTAGGTGATAGAGGTTTACCAGGTGAACCTGGAATACAAGGTTTACCAGGACCCCAAGGCTTACTTGGCCAGCCAGGGCCACCAGGTATTGGTAATCCAGGAATGAATGGTGCTCCAGGATTACCAGGACCTTCTGGACCTAAAGGACAGATAGGACTACCAGGCATGCATGGCCCACAAGGAATGCAAGGTTATGGAAAGCCAGGCTTACCAGGAGTGAAAGGACAAAGGGGGGCTGAAGGGATTCCTGGTGTTCCTGGTATAAAAGGTGGTCAGGGACCAGTAGGTCTCCCGGGAGAGCCAGGATTACCAGGGTTTCCAGGAAATGGAGGTATGCAGGGACATAGAGGGCTTCCAGGAGATGTTGGATTTCCAGGACAAAAGGGTGATGTTGGTTCTAAAGGTATTCCTGGAGCTCTTGGTCCAAAAGGTGAAAGAGGTACTCCAGGACTAGAAGGAAAATCGGGATATCCAGGTGAGCCAGGACTTGCTGGTCCCAAGGGACCACCAGGGATGCCAGGACAAAAAGGAGAGAAAGGGATAGTAGGACCACAAGGTCCACTTGGGGCAATTGGTCCAGTAGGCCCTAGAGGTGAAATGGGCTACAGTGGAGAACAGGGACCAAGAGGGGCTACAGGAATACCAGGTATGAGGGGGCCATCAGGAGCACCAGGAATTTCAGGTCCTCCTGGTCAGAAGGGTGAACAGGGCTTACGTGGTATACCAGGTCCAGCTGGAATTGCAACAAATGGTGTACAAGGACCAATAGGATCTCCTGGAATTCCTGGCCCAAGAGGAATTATGGGTGAGCCAGGATTGCCTGGTCAGCCAGGTCCACCAGGCCCACCAGGTCAGGTAATAATGCCACACCACTTGCCTGATGGCTACTCAAAATCAGGGCAAATTCAAGGCCTAAGGGAAATACGTGCCTCTGCATTTACTGCTGTTCTCTCCAAAGCCTTTCCAGCAGTGGGAGTACCTATAAAATTTGATAAAATTTTATATAACAGACAAAATCACTATGATGCTCGAACTGGAATATTTACATGCAGGATACCGGGACTATATTATTTTGCTTACCATGTACATGTAAAAGGTACAAATATTTGGGTGGCACTATACAAAAATGGTACACCAATAATGTACACATATGATGAATATAAGAAAGGATACCTTGACCAGGCATCGGGAAGTGCTGTCATAGACCTAACAGAAAATGACCAAGTTTGGCTCCAGTTACCCAGTGCAGAATCTAACGGTTTATATTCTTCTGACTATATACATTCCTCTTTCTCAGGATTTTTATTTGGCTTAACATGATAAGTCATTTTTATATTTCCAATTTTATGCTTGAATTTTTTGTTACATCCCATTTTTGTGTTGATAAAAAATGCAGTACAGTATAATGTATTTTTGATGTTTTAGTTGCATGAATTATTGCTATTTTGAAATTTACACTCCTTAAAATATTGTTTCTATTTTCAGTTGCAGTGGGTTCCCAAATATAAAATGCTGTAATCTAATTTTTGTATCTTTATAATGTTTTTCTCAATGCATTGTATGTAGTAATTCTGTATAAAGAACCTTGCAGATTTCTTTGTAATATTAAAAATCATAGGACACTGACTCTTAAACTATTTAGACAGTTCCAGTATCCTCAAAGCCAAATTATTCAGTTTCCATTGCCTTTTCTATTAGGCATCCATCTCTTTATTACTCTCCACTCTCGTCTACTTACTCATAAGTTTCAAACAATATGAACCTTTGTATCCCTTTACTAGAAATTGTAACTCCACCAATCCTGTAAATTAAACATTGTTTCAAAATAAACATTTTCTTAAATCCAATGTGTAATGATTGGAAGAAAAAAAAACAATATAATAAATAGTGAAAAGATTGAAAAGAAAATAGTTCATTGAGGCTAGGTTCACACTAATACGGTGTGGTACATCGCATGTGATTCACACTCTGCATTCCTGTGCAAATCACATGCGATTTGCGTGTGGTGCGATTGGAGCCATGCATTTTGTATGGCTCAAATTGCACCACACCTGCACCAAAAAGGTGCAGGACCCTTTTTTAGTTCTGCCCTAGAATCAGATCACATGGGTATTCATATATATGCGATCCAATTCTGCACATCACACCGTGTTTTGCAGACCGATTTCAGGGTGTTGTTAACTTAACATACACACCCACATCGGTTTGCATGAATGGGGTGTGATTCTGATGCGGTACGGAATTTGCACAGAAAACACTGTGAATTCCACACCGCATCAGTGTGAACCCAGCCTAAATGAATATGTAGAATTGATAACTGATTAAGTTCACTGATGGTAATATTTCAGGCTTAGGTAGACATATTCAACTTAATGTATTTGCTTGTATCTCTAAGGGACTCATGAAACAGGAACTACCTGGAGGATTTATGGCTCCCTCTTCACCAAACAAGGTCTTCCATCTCCAGATGCTTCATTCAGCCTTGATTTTTTTCTAATGGGTCTGTTTACACATTTTTTCACTCAAGATTTAAACATTTTTCTTATTGGATTCAATTGGAAATGATTTAAACATTCTGGGTAAAAGTTGTGTGACTCTTGTGTGAACACATTTATAAATGAGACATCGAGTTTAGGAGCTATACATCAGTAAAAGTTTTGTATTTCCTATTCAAATCTCAACCCATGGGTAGTAGTATGTGGGTTGAATAACATTTACTTCTGAAATATCCCTAATGCTAAACTGAAATCTAAGCGGGAAAGTGACACCCCGTAAGGCTAGGTTCACACCTATGCAGTTTGCGTTTGACATGTTTCTGCATTTTTTTTACGTGCTTTGAGTTTTTTTTCTTGTTTCTAAGTAGATTTAAAATGAAAAACGCAACAAAAATGCAGCAAAAATGCACTACATGCTTTTCTGCAGCATTTCCATGGAAGTCTAGAACCAAAAACACAACTTTTTGCGTTCAAAAAAGTCTCTGACCCTATCCAAAAAATGCACCAGGTGAAAATGCGGAGATGTGAATGTGTCCCATAGGAAATCATGCTAAATTGACTGTAGTGCATTTCTGCAAAATGCTGTGGAATTCACTTAGCTGTGAACCTAGGGTAAGGCCACTTCAGGTGTGAGTAGCTGGAATCTGAGGTATAGAGATGTCATCAGAATATCCAAGAGATAAATGGAAAATGTTGTGTTTGAGTCAACCTGAGAACTTCTGCCCAGAAGAAAAATATTAGTATTGGTTGGTCTGATACAAAAAAAGTAAGTGCATGAGTCCGCAATACAAGAAACATCCATTCACTAGTGCATTAAATGGCAGTGCACTGGAAAAACAGCAATCTGTCTTGGTAACCAGAAACACTGCAATATTAAATAATGCCTTTTTTGGCTTGAAAATCTAAATAATGCTATAATTACCATGACTGCTTGTAATGGCAGATATACAGTACATTAAACCTGAATTGACAAATACATTGGACCACATTTCCACTTGGGGATTCATGCAATGACAAGATAGGCTGCAACAGAACTTTGTACAATGAGGTCACAGTACTTATTTGCTTGGATGCTATGGGATTGTTGGATATAACTTGCTGCCAAGCACATAGCTCATAAAATACTTGCTGAAACAACTGCATCCATAATAACAATGGGAATCACAATCCTTCAACCTGCATATACAAACTGCACAACTTGGAAGTTGTTTAGGATAGCCTACAGCTGTAGTATACAAATGGATTTGAACACTATTATGAGAGATCATCTTATGTCCGCACCATTTTCTACCACACTCTATATCTTGCTAATCCCATTGCAACCTGAAATAAAAAATGTCAATAGTATAATCTACAAAATTTTCGATGCAAAGGAATTCCTGTTAAAAAGCTTCCACTTGCATGCATGATACCCATTACTTATATTGTGTATAGCATTGCCATATAGCTAAATCAAATGCAAAAATTAGTTAATGCATTACACAGTTGTAGATTCTGCTACTCTATGCAGAAACAATGTATGTGACACAGTCTACACAATATTGTGTAGACTGAGAGATCTTTTGATTACAGGCCAAGCAAAGCAGATCTTATATAATTTGCAGCTGAAAACTGTCTACCCAACACTTGTGTTATTTCAAGTGTTCATCAAATTCTTTTGATTAGGTGGTAATTTCAAAAAATTTAGGGAACTATTTAAAAGAGGTAGAACAATGTTTGTTATGTCTTTTAGGTCTTCTACTAAGAATATGTTAGCAATTTAACTTGTTTTTTCCCTTTTATCTGCCATGTTAAATATGATATCCCTACGTTCCTTGTTAGATGCAGACATAAATATTGGAATAGCAATTTATTCATGCCTGTACTCTTTAATTTTAAAAAGTATACTTTACATCAGTTAGTACTGTACTGAAGCTCAAGTGTTCCTTGCAGATTTATATTACATTGTTTTGTAATAAAGTATTCATAAAGCAACAAATGCATTTCAGAAATAAAGAATTAACATATTAGGAAATATACAAAAAACATAACTCAGGGTTATCAGATAGACTTTGTTCCTTCAAAAATTTCCACTGACATTTAAAGATATTGCCCTCAGCTGCTATTACTATCATGTTGACAAATGACTATTCTTGATATATTTTACAGCTAACGTGGGGTCCCACTGCCTTTGAATGGCTTTTGTTGTATCTGTTTAATTATTGCAAAGATTTGTTGATTCTGCCAGAAATCTTGTCAGCTGATAACTACTTGTACGGTTCTACTTGTACACTGTTCTTAGCTATATATGAGGATTACAGAAACCCTATCCTCTATGTTATAAAAAGAGGAAGAGAAAGGAGCTTGTAGTCTCAATCAGTAGAGAAGACTATAATGCCACCACTGCTTCTCTATAGATACAGTATCAGGAGCGAACCTTGTCAACCTAGGACAGGGGGTATGTTACTGGCAGGAAAACTGGGTTTAAAATAAAGCAAAGAAAAATTTCTCGCCAAAAAGGAATGCAGTCATCATACAATGACTGGTAAGCTGCAATATATTACATTTTGGATGTTAGGAAAAGACGCCCTTGAAACGAACTGTAAGGAAATAATGTTACAAACCTACAAGATTAATGAACTGCATCTTAAAAAGCAATGTGTCTAACCCACATTTTTTTGTTTAATACAAAAGTTGTTTAATAAAGGCAAAGGTAATATGGGAGAACTGCATTTACAGCATTTGTATTTGTCTAAGTATGAGTGATTCAGCCTGGGGTTAATTCACTGTGTGTTTCTTGAATCTTGTGTCCTAGAAACTTAGTATCCCTTCACTTCCTTCTACCCATCCATCATTCCTTCCTTCCTTCCTTCCCCCCCCCCCTCCCCCTCCCTTTCTTACTTCCCCCCCCCCCCCCCCCCCCCCCCCATCCTTCCCCCCCACCCCACCCCCCCCCTCCCCCCCCCCCCCCCCCTCCCTTCCCCCCCCCTTCCCCCCTTCCCCCCCCCCCCCCCCCCCCCCCCCCCCCCCCCTCCCCCCCCCCCCTTCCCCCCCCCCCCCCCCTCCCCCCCCTTCCCCCCCCCCCCCCCCCCCCCCCCCCCCCTCCCCCCCCCCCCCCCCCCTCCCCCCCCCCCCCCCCCCCTTCCCCCCCCCCCCCCCCTTACCCCCCCCCCCCCCTCCCCCCCCCCCCCCCCCCCCCCCCCCCCCCCCTCCCCCCCCCTACCCCCCCCTCCCCCCCCCCCCCCCCCCCCCCCCCCCCCCCCCCCCCCTCCCCCCCCCCCCCCCCCCCCCTCCCCCCCCTACCCCCCCCCCCCCCCCCCCCCCCCCCCCCCCTCCCCACCACCCCCCCCCCCCCCCCCCCCCCCCCCCCCCCCCCCCCCCCCCCCCCCCCCCCCCCCCCCCCCCCCCCCCCCCCCCCCCCCCCCCCCCCCCCCCCCCCCCCCCCCCCCCCCCCCCCCCCCCCCCCCCCCCCCCCCCCCCCCCCCCCCCCCCCCCCCCCCCCCCCCCCCCCCCCCCCCCCCCCCCCCCCCCCCCCCCCCCCCCCCCCCCCCCATCCCCCCCCCCCCCCCCCCCCCCCCCCCCCCCCCCCCCCCCCCCCCCCCCCCCCCCCCCCCCTTCCCCCCCCCCCCCCCCCCCCCCCCCCCCCCCCCCCCCCCCCCCCCCCCCCCCCCCCCCCCCCCCCCCCCTCCCCCCCCCCCCCCCCCCCCCCCCCCCCCCCCCCCCCCCCCCCCCCCCCCCCCCCCCCCCCCCCCCCCCCCCCCCCCCCCCCCCCCCCCCCCCCCCCCCCCCCCCCCCCCCCACCCCCCCCCCCCCCCCCCCCCCCCCCCCCCCCCCCCCCCCCCCCCC